TTTAACTGATTGCATTCAATCAACTCAGACTGCACGCTTTCAGACAGTGTTCGTGTTGGGGTCTCCGGGCGGGCACGGGCCCGGGGGCAGAGGCGCCCCCCGGCGGCCGACAAGCGGCGGCCCGCCGAAGCAACAGGGTACAATAGACACGGATGGGAGGTTGGGCCCAAAGGACCCGCACTCGGTAATGATCCTTCGCAGGTTCACCTACGAAACCTTTTACGACTTTTACTTCCTCTAAATGACCGGGTTTGACCAACTTTCCGCTCTGGGGGTCGTTGCCAACCTCCTGAGCCAGTCCGAAGGCCTCACCGAGCCATTCAATCGGTAGTAGCGACGGCGGTGTGTACAAAGGGCAGGGACGTAATCGCACGAGCTGATGACTCGTGCCTACTAGGCATTCCTCGTTGAAGAGCAATATTGCAATGCTCTATCCCCAGCACGACAGGGTTTAACAAGATTACCCAGACCTCTCGGCCAAGGTGATGTACTCGCTGGCCCTGTCAGTGTAGCGCGCGTGCGGCCCAGAACATCTAAGGGCATCACAGACCTGTTATTGCCGCGCACTTCCATCGGCTTGAGCCGATAGTCCCCCTAAGAAGCCAGCGGCCCGCAAATGCGGACCGGGCTATTTAAGGCCGAGGTCTCGTTCGTTATCGCAATTAAGCAGACAATCACTCCACCAACTAAGAACGGCCATGCACCACCATCCAAAAGATCAAGAAAGAGCTCTCAATCTGTCAATCCTTATTTGTCTGGACCTGGTGAGTTTCCCCGTGTTGAGTCAAATTAAGCCGCAGGCTCCACGCCTGGTGGTGCCCTTTCCGTCAATTCTTTAAGTTTCAGCCTTGCGACCATACTCCCCCCAGAACCCAAAAACTTTGATTTCTCGTAAGGTGCCGAACGGGTCATAATAGAAACACCGTCCGATCCCTAGTCGGCATAGTTTATGGTTAAGACTACGACGGTATCTGATCGTCTTCGATCCCTAACTTTCGTTCCCTGATTAATGAAAACATCCTTGGCGAATGCTTTCGCAGTAGTTAGTCTTCAGCAAATCCAAGAATTTCACCTCTGACAGCTGAATACTGACGCCCCCGACTATCCCTATTAATCATTACGGCGGTCCTAGAAACCAACAAAATAGAACCGCACTCTATTCTATTATTCCATGCTAATGTATTCGAGCAAAGGCCTGCTTTGAACACTCTAATTTTTTCACAGTAAAAGTCTGGTTCCCCCCACAGCCAGTGAAGGCCATGAGATTCCCCAGAAGGAAAGGTCCAGCCGGACCAGTACTCGCGGTGAGGCGGACCGGCCAGCCAGACCCAAGGTTCAACTACGAGCTTTTTAACTGCAACAACTTTAATATACGCTATTGGAGCTGGAATTACCGCGGCTGCTGGCACCAGACTTGCCCTCCAATTGTTCCTCGTTAAGGATTTAGATTGTACTCATTCCAATTACGAACCCAAAAGAGCCCCGTATCAGTATTTATTGTCACTACCTCCCCGTGTCGGGATTGGGTAATTGCGCGCCTGCTGCCTTCCTTGGATGTGGTAGCCGTTTCTCAGGCTCCCTCTCCGGAATCGAACCCTAATTCCCCGTTACCCGTTGCCACCATGGTAGGCCACTATCCTACCATCGAAAGTTGATAGGGCAGAAATTTGAATGAACCATCGCCGGCGCAAGGCCATGCGATTCGTTAAGTTATTATGATTCACCAAGGAGCCCCGAAGGGCATTGGTTTTTTATCTAATAAATACACCCCTTCCGAAGTCGAGGTTTTCAGCATGTATTAGCTCTAGAATTACCACAGGTATCCATGTAGTAAGGTACTATCAAATAAACGATAACTGATTTAATGAGCCATTCGCAGTTTCACAGTATAAAGTGCTTATACTTAGACATGCATGGCTTAATCTTTGAGACAAGCATATGACTACTGGCAGAATCAACCAGATACCTAGTTCCTGCAGGGTGTGTCCGGGAGCGCATCCGGAGATACGCACCGCAAAACGCACCCCAAAGCCTCCGAAGAGGCAGCGTGTAACGTAGGCTTCACTCTGGAAGGGGCACACGAAGTGCCCGGCCACAGCGACACCCCCGGCGCACCGGGAGTACACAGATGACCATCCAATTGCCCCCACTGTAGCCCCCAGGAACCGGTCCGCACGCAGGTAGACCCGGCCAGGAATCGCCCTTGCAGGCGCTGGCAGGCTGCGGCATACGGCCCTCGGGTGGAGGGTCCAGACCCCGCGGACACGCCGACGAACGGCGGCTCCCGCGGGGCGGCTCCCCCCGGGAATCTGTAAAAGAAGGCTGGCCAGCGGCCAACGATCCACAGACTCCATCGGTGCCGGGGACCGAGAACGGCCCCCGGACTTCAGACACCCCGGCAACAACGGGCACCCCCGGGCATGATTAAGCCGGCGTGTCTCTGACTCGGCAAGCTACAGATCCCCACGGCACGATATCTCAGGGGTCACGGGCGCGTCCG